CATTTCTGAAAGCTGACACAAAAGACTGAGCGCTGGAAAAAGGATAGGAAATAAGAAAAGAAACCAAACTGTATCAGCGTCTCTCCCCCCCCCCCCCGTCTCTCTCTTTCCACCCCCACCCCCGCCCCTTTCCCTCTTTCTTCCCCTTAGTCAGGTTCATGGCAAGGGCAGCTTATAGGCTGTGAGATAGAGATCAGTAGCCCTTCCAAGCTGGGGACTGCCCCACCTTACGGCTGATGATAATAGAGGCAAAAGTGAGAGTGACAGTCAGATGGAAACTGACACAGGGCTTCTATCAATGTTGTTGCTTCCCATGAGACCAGAAGAGAGAGGAGGAGACAGACAGATGGACAGACAGAGAAGTGAAAGACAGGAAGAGAGGGAGAGTTCAGCTGAATGTCACTCTTGATAACTGCAGCAGCTCTCGCTATTTTTTTCCCCCTGTTGGGGTGTCATGCTGAACCACATTTGAGAGTTTAGCCCACCCCACCAGCAGAGAGCACTTTGTGTTTATTTCCAGTTGGCAAGGGCTTCACGGCTAGGAGGAGGTCGCCCAGCGACTTCTTCGCCTTAATTTCCTCGGTCTGAGTGTGTGACACTTGTACTGCAATTGCACTTGAAGGATTCTGTTTGCAGTCTTTTGAGCTCTTCACATGGTGAGATTTCTTCATGTTAAAATACGCGGCGCTGCTGCTCCTGGAACATTACATGCCCCTGCATCTGTGGAGCCCCCACAAAATAGTTCATTGCGCAAATAAAGGATGGTGGCAGCGGTGATGATACTTAATAAAACAAATACCGCTTTCCTGAAGGAGATAAGATTCCACGAGTATGTGCTGTTAAAGAATCTGAGGTGCATGGCTTGTTTCCACACAAAGCAGTGGTGGGAGATGAACCCGTAAAAGTGATATTTGAAAACAACCAACATTGCCACTTCTGTTTTATCTCTTGCTGCTGTTTTGCCCCAGACAAAATATTCCAGGGTGTTAGTGTTGTTAATCTGGAAACATTTTAAGGATAGTCATAAAATAATTGAGGTTAAGGTTTTTCAGAATAGCTGGTTTCAAAGGAGGAGAACAGCTAGTTAAAAACCTTTCTAGGTTTAGGATGAATGCCTCCATTAAGCAAAATTACATACAAAATGTGTATAGCAGGAGAAATTTGCACTAAAATCCCGATAAGGACTTGTTTGGTTTTGCTTTAAAAATTGCAAACTGGTGTGGAAATGTAGAAAATGGAATTCTCAGTGGTATGTGGAACTCCCTCCCTACTGAAATGCACCTTGGCTCAGCCCTATGTAATTTACCAAACCTAGGAAGGTGCCTTAGATACTTAGTCCCTCTGGTCCATACACTGATCAGTAGTGGCTGTTCATGATTTCAGGCAGGAATTTGCTCTCACCTGGAGGGCTGTCAAGGATTGAACCTGCAACCTTCTGCATGCAAAGCAGATGCTCTACCAGTGAGCTATGGCACTTCCCCATTATTACAAACTATAAAATTACAGTGTCACCATCTGATAGTAAGTATCTGTGGTATTCACTGCAGGTAGGAGAACATCATAAAACCAAAGTGTTATTCAGCTTTTTTTTAAAAAAAAAAAATTCCTCCAAAGTGCTTTGATAGTTTTTGCATGCACCAGTTAGGTGAAGGTATATGTATTTTTCACATCATCCAATGGATTTTTGCCTTTTGTGATGATGTTTCTAACTTTCTCACTGTTGCAAACACACAGCTGTCACAGCTTAAGCAGATGTGCTCTTCCTGCTTTGTCAGCCTGTTCTTTCAGAATTTCTTTTGCAGTTAAACAGCTGTAGAAAAGGTGGAGACTCACCTCTTTCCCCCCATGCCATTTATCTCAATGAGCTGTGAATATAAAAATTAAATCCTAACATTATTAAAAATGCTCTCTAGTGCCCCTTTTCAGCTTGAGCAGTTTAAAAAAGGAACAATGCATCTTGAATTATACTGTGACTTCTAGGTAGTCTTGAGCCTCCTCAGCTCTACGCATTGTAAAATGAAGCACTGATAGGATCGCTATGTGCCGTCTGGAAATGGGCCCTGGTCCTGCCCCATTATGGCTGGCTTGCAATTTTGTATTCAGAATTAATTTTCTCTGCTGGGCCTGCTAATTCACTCAAAGGAAGCCTCTGTGCCTTTCTTTTCTGAGCTTCCTACAGCATGTAAAGACAGTTCAGGTAATCCAAAGTTTAAGCAGGCAGGACGTAAAGCTTAACTAGCTTCATAGGGAGAACTTGGACATTCTCCCATAGAAACCTCATTCACCTCTAAAGGGCCCGAGGAGGTGACAATGGATAGGTACACGTTTCAAACATCTTTTCTTGGTGGCAATGCCTCAATATTCTACTTGCCTAAGCAGCCCCCTCTAAACCGGATAGAGACACATTCCCACTACACTAATGTAACGTGTCTCTCAGGCTCATGCATATCTGTTGTCGCAGTGTGTCATCTTGTCTCCAATGCTGTTTACCGAGGGATTGGACCTGAGGTCTCAACACTATGCTTAAATGCACCCAGCTCTCTGTAACATCTGAAGGAAGTGAGGTCCTGCAAGCCTGAAAGTGGTGTTGTGTCTGGATGCAGTGGAGGGCTGGATGAGGGCCAATAAACTGAAGTTTAAACCCTGCCAACTTGGTTGCAAGGGAGTTGCACATCCCTTGAAAAATCAGCTTCATAGCTTGAGGGGTTGCTGGATTCATCATTGTAACTAAAGGCCCAAGTAGCCTCAGTGGCTCTGAGTACCATCTGCCAGTCATGACTGTTCCTGGACAGCGATAGCTTGGTCATGGAAGTCCATGAATGATAACCTTGAGGTCGGATTACTGCTTTATGTGGGGCTGTCCTTAAGGTCTTTCTGGAAATGGTGGCTGGTGCAGAATGCTGTGTCTAGGCTGCTGTTAGGAGAGATGTATCCCCCACATTTAACACATCTGTTGAGGGATATGCACTGGCTACCAGTGAGATACCAAGCTATGTTTTAGGTTTTTTACTTTGTGTATAAAACCATAAACAACCTAGGTCCAGTTTGCCTTTTCTAATATCATTTTGCCTAAACCCTTAGGTCACCAAGTGATGCCCTCTTGTGGGTGCCACACACCCCAGGTGTTTACCAAATACCTAGGGCAGAGCTTTTAGTGTGGTGGCACCCACACCTTGAAATACATATACTGTCCCGGGGAATTAGGATGGTGCTAACTGCTTGTGCTTTTTGGTGTGTTCTTAAGACTACACAAAAAAATCAACCAGATGTTTTCAGGGTCTCATTGTTGGATATTGTTCCTGTTGGTTTTACAGATGTAAATATAATTTCATAAGGTAATGTTATTTCTCCCTCTGACAGGAAATTTAGGTTCTAACTAACCAAACTAGCCAAAACAGGAACAGTGAGAAAATAGAGGGAGGTATGATTGTGTTTAGGGACGCGGGTGGCGCTGTGGGTTAAACCACAGAGCCTAGGACTTGCTGATCAGAAGGTCGGTGGTTCGAATCCCTGCGATGGGGTGAGCTCCCGTTGCTTGGTCCCTGCTCCTGCCAACCTAGCAGTTCGAAAAGACATGAAAGTGGAAGTAGATAAATAGGTATTGCTCCGGCGGGAAGGTAAACGGTGTTTCAGTGCACTGCTGTGGTCCGCCAGAAGCGGCTTAGTCATGCTGACCACATGACCCGGAAGCTGTGCGCCGGCTCCCTCAGCCAATAAAGCGAGATGAGTGCCTCAACCCCAGAGTCGGTCACGACTGGACTTAATGGTCAGGGGTCCCTTTACCTTATGACTGTTTGGGGGAAGCCCAAGCCTTGCAGCACCATAAAATAACTACAGGAAAATGGGGGATACTACTTCCAAAAACATGCCCACTGAAGACTCAGCATGCTTAGTGACCATGGAATGCTGTCACCCTATCTGCACCATCAATTTAAAGCAGTATCGTATCACTTTAAACAGTCACCCCCCCCAATCCCGAGGACCATAGTTTATAAAAGGAGCTGAGTGTTTGTGAGACCCTAATTCCCCTCACAGAGCTACAGTGCTCAGAATGATTTAACAGTCAATCCCTCTTCCCAAGGAACTCTGGGAATTGTAGTTCTGGGAGTTGGGATTCCAGCATCCTTAACAAACTACAGTTCCCAGGATTCTTTGCAGGAAGCCATGATTGTTTAAAGTGCTATGATGCTGTATTGTGCAGATGGGTCTGTCTGTCTGTTGGGTGGTATTGGTGTTGATGCAATAGGGGAACATAATGGGGGGGGGGGGGGGCAAGGCAGCCTGGAACCCTGAACAGAAGCACTCAGTGCTACAGCAATTTGTTGCAATTTACCTCTTTTAAAAGTTCAGATCTGCCTAGGTTTATTTATTTAATGACTACAAAATGTACTGATGTACTGTACTTGCGTATGGCACACAGTGCAGTATCTTCATTATCCAAACTTCCCTGTCCTGTATCCTCATGTCTATGTAATATATGGTAAAACACAGACCTCTGAATGCAACCATCTGATTATGCAAACATTCAAATGTCATCTAAGGCATTCAGATAAATGAGGTTGTCCCATATGCAACTTGAATATATACTTCAGGATAGCTTAATGCCACAGCATTAAGGAAGGAAAATGTAATTTTTATGTACTAATACACAAGAGAGTTTAAAAAATTGTCTATAATAGTTCTTCATGGTATAACTCCTAAGATGGAAGAAATAAATTGACTGATTTGACCCACAAATTGGTCAGGTTAGATTGATTTGATGTTGTGGGTGGGCCTTTCTGTACTTGCGAAGTTGCAATGTTTTTATTTAAGGGATAAATTGGATTTCTGGGCATGTGTGATATACAGCAATTTAAAATTATTGGAGTTCTTCATATTGTTAAGTGTACTTCAGTCTGAAAGAGTGACGCTTTCCTACAAATGCCAGGTAAATTGCTCTGTAAGTCCAGAATCCCTGATTACCTCAGAATTGAAATGCTTACAAAAATGCTGAAATGTTCTAATAATTTTACAGCTCTTTATGATTCATGTGCTTAGAACCCCAATCATTTCTAAATCGAAGAGCTCTCATTATTTTGAAGTTTCATGTGCTGCATAAAGCGATTTAAGATTATTTCCTCGTCTTTCATATTTTTATTTTATTTTTTTTAAAAAACGGGGCGGGGGAAGACTTGCTTGGTCTTTCTGACTATGTTTTAAAAGATTACAAATGGATTTAAGCATTCAGTATTTAAAATGGAAATTGAATCAAAATCTTCAAAATATGATGATGATAGCTGGGGGAGGATGATGATGGATTGGGGGTGGGGAGAAGCCATTGAAGCAGAGGAAATACCATGTACAGGACTGTCAATGATTCCTGCTGGGGAAAATGAGAGGGGCAGTCAATGTGCAGATGTAGACAGGGTGTAGCTGGGACACAATTAAACTTACAATAAAGATGCAACAAAAGAGAGAGGCATATTCATTTAATGGGAAGAAAGAAAAAGGCTTGTTTTTACACACACACACAGACACACATACACACACACACACACACACACAGAGAGAGAGAGAGAGAGAGAGAGAGTGGTGGGTTATTCCTCCTATTTTTATTTATTCATTTATGATGACGCCGCCACCACCTTAGAGCAGTGGTTCCCAATTAGCCAAGTACTGTGAACCGCCTGTTTTTCAGAAGGCAAGCCATGGTCCCCCCCGCTTTTGAAATTGTTGATATATTTATGGTACTTTTTGTTATGTGAATGCTGCCACGTGAGTGGGTTACACAGAACCTCTGAGTCCACAGACCACCAATTGGGAATCATTGTCATAGAGGGTGGTGATACATGGCCTTTATGGTGTCTTTAAACCAATATTAGTATATTTTGCATAGATATCCATCCCCCTCCCCCCAGCACAGTCCTAGATATGTCTACCTGGAAGAAAGCTCCATGGGATATAATGGGGTTTAGTTCATTTAACTAGATATAGTATTGCAGCCTTGAATGCTTAGTTGAGAAGCCATTTTTCATACAGTTTAGATGGCAGACCAGAATTATTTTAGTTTATATAAAAGCGCTCTCTCTCTCTCTCTCTCTCTCTCTCTCTCTCTCTCTCTCTCCAGTCTAAGGGCTTCATTTCCTCATAAGCAAACAAGTGGTGGGTGGGGACTGAGACAAGAGTGGGTGGAGCAATAGATGTGCTTAACCTTTTCTACAATAAACTAGAGGCATCTAGATGAACACCTCTCCATCTTCTATCCAGGTAAGCAAGTGTCATTATCACAGACCAAGGACACAGTACAACCAGGCAAAAACACTTGAGGATGTGGAACAGGGCCAGGAAGGAGTGTGGCCTAGGGAGAGTCCCAAGGGCCAGGCTGAGAGTCCTGGGGGCCACATTCAGCCCCTAGCCCTGAGTTCCTCACTACTGTTAAGTAAAGTAGGTACTTGAATAGCTTGGTGCACTTTCCCCCCGAAAGTCAAAATGTTCTTTCC